TTGAGTCAATTGAGTCGCCGACCAGTGAATCGGCCGCTAATGCGACGGAATGTGATCCCGACGTCAATGCAAATCAAATTTCTAGTCATTTTACTGGCAATCAGTTGACTAAAAATTTTGACTAAAAGAATAAATAATAGTAAGTATACTTCATAAATTAGTAAATTATGTAATTATGTAAAATTCAGTTAATAATCTGGTAAAATAAGTGTTACGTTTAGTAAAAGCTACTGATTTTACTCAACAAATTATTTATATTTATTTTTAGTCTTTACTTTTCAGGTGTTGACTACTATCTACTCCTTTAATAAAACATTCATATATTTCTCTAAACATATATTTCTATAACATATTCTTAAAGAAACAAAACAAATAAAACAATTATTATATAAGATCTATAGTTTGGTAAAACAGTCAGTGATTGTGTCTATAGATTATATAGAATATAGGAATATAACAAAAGTATTGATTGTATTTGATTTAGAGATAAACATGTTTTTCGCGAATTTTCTACTCAATATGTAGTCAATTACCGCCTTTTGTTGTGATATTAAATTATATAAAAGGCAAAGAATTTTATTTAAAGTATAAAAAGTATGTGAATTTAAATTAATTTATTTATAATATAACGAATATGTATATTAATTTATTAGTCAATTACCGCCTTTTGTTGTGATATTAAATTATATAAAAGGCAAAGAATTTTATTTAAAGTATAAAAAGTATGTGAATTTAAATTAATTTATTTATAATATAACGAATATGTATATTAATTTAAAGTGATTGTGCGATTTGTATGACATGTACTTATTATATAATTTAAGTACTAATAAATGTGAACTTATTTATGATAATTTAATTAAAACTTAATTTTACGATTTTAATGGCAATACAAAAATATAGTGGCGATTGGTATCCAACGGTGCGATACATAAGGCATAAAAGTTTTGTTTTGTTTTCTCGATGCAAGTGTTGCCCCGGGAGAAGAGGGCAGTCGTCGGGCATTTTTCTAGAATTATGTTTTATTTATACCATTATATCATTGATTGGATACAACAATGAAAGCGATGAAAGCAATTCGTTTTAAGAACTGATAGTTTTTAAGATTCTTATGGCAGAGGTTTTTGTTTTTGGCCAACTTTTAAGCGTTGAAGCATTTCCTAAGCAATCGTTATTTTGTAAATGGAAATTACATTTCGGTTCGTTTCACACAACTCTTTCTATTCCCACATTTACTCTAAACTTAATTTTATTTTAAGAATTAAAATAATTTGCTATATGGTAAAAGTAATGTGTTTAAATTCAACGACCTTTAGGTACTAATTGGAAAGTATTAGAAGGTTTAACAACTGGTCAAACACAAGTGGATGAACCACAAGCACAAGAGACCACATATTGGTGTCATCCAATTGATCTGCACTTTGTCACTAAAGGGATTCAGGGTATCAGATATTATACTAATTATATACTAATATACTCATTATTGTTAACCATTTTATTTGATAAACATCTGTATAATTGAGATTTTATTTTGTATAAAACTTGTTATATGTTGCAAAAGGGTGGCCAAAGTTAGAGCTACAGGTTTGGCATCAGGACTCGTTTGGTCGGTGCAATATTTGCAGCTATGGTTTTATTCATATGCCATCGCAAGGAGGATATCATAAGATAACTTGTCACACATGGAGACCAATCGGTTCACTAAGCGATCAAATTTCACAATTTTTCACTGAAGACAGTCTTAAACTAATGAATGAAGAAATTATTACTAATGAAAACCGTTCACGACTTCAAACACAAGCCATGGGTTCAGTAAATCTGGAATTATATGTTGTGTTTAAGAATTTTGAAATTTACGGAATTGAGACATAAATATTTCATTTAGAAAATATGTTTTTAATAAACTTGACGGCGATTGTGTTGACTCTAGTTTACACAATTAAATGTCAAAATACAAGTACAGAGAATCCAATTGCATTGAAACAATCAAAGAATTCAACAAATGAAACACAGACTACAACCACAACAGAATCGCCAAACACGACAACATTGAT